AGTGCTTATCCTATAGTGTCACACTAGGAGTTGCTGCCCTGCAACTCTGGTACTGATGAATAATATTGAATATATCATGGACTGCTAAAAGAATTTTTTAAAAGCCATGCTATAAGAAGTAAAGTCATAATGTTCCTTAGAAGTTCAAGGACAAGACTTCATTCAGCTCACAGTCCCTAGAGAAAGACATCATGCTTAGTAACACAGAGAGTCAGTGAAAAAGATCGACACAGTGGTGGCAACAATGAGTCAGAACCAACTTGATGGCTCTTAACAACAATAACAATCTTCATAGGGGCAGACTCACATTTTTCTCCTGTGGAATGCAGATTGGTTCAAATCACCAACATTTTGTTAGTAGACGAGTACTTAACTATGCACCCTTTTAATTGGGATTGGATGTGTTTTATCTTGGGGAGTGGAGTATAAATTTTTACCATTTTCCTTTAAGTATGAACATACCTATAAGAAATAACTACCTGGATAGCTTTTAATACTACAGGTATTGAGGAAGACGCCTTTCTAAACAATTATTCTTAGATTTTCCTAATTCTCAATTATGCTGTATGGTAATTGTTGTTGTTGTTAAGTGCCGTCGAGTCGGTTCCGACCCATAGCGACCCTGTACAGGTTTCTGAGGGAGTAAATCTTTACGGGAGTAGAAAACCTCATCTTTCTCCCACGGAGCACCTGGTAGTTTCGAACCGCTGACCTTAAGGTTCGCGGCCCGATTCGTAACCACTATGCTACCAGAGCTCCTTGTATAGCTATTTATATGATGGGGAGTATGGTGACTCCATATGATAAGCACTGTATTGCAAACCACTAGGTCAGCAGTTCGAACCCACCAGCCACTCCTCAAAAGGAAGATGAGGCTTTCTGCTCCAGCAAAGATTTAAAGCCCAGGAAACCCTTTACAGGGTCCCTATAAGTCAAGTCAAAACTGACTTGATGGCAATTAACAACTATATATATATATATTATATATATATAATAGTAACTATTTCTTAAGAAAGGAGCTATGGTGACACTGTAGGATAAGAACTGGACCGCTAATCATAAAGTTAGTGGTTCAATCCCATCAGCTGCTCATGGGAAGAAAGATGAACCTGTCTGCTCCCATAAAGATTTACTGCTTCAGAAAGCTTATATAAGGTCACTAAGAGTGGGAATCCACTCAGTGGTGGTGGGTTTGCTTTGGTTTGGTTTGAGTATCTCTTAAAGAAGGCCCTGCATCATTCTAAATAGGGCACATCATTGGCTCATTTAATCCTCACGTTTTTTATGAGGCTAGTGGCTCATTCTCTTTATTTTACAGACAGGAAAATGGGCACAGGAAAGTCAAGTAAATTGCCCAAATCACATAGTAAGCTGCAATGCCTCTTCAAATCTACACAGAAATCTCTGAAATTTCACATCTTTGTACATATTTGAAGGGGACCACAAAGACCCACTAACCAAAAAAAAAAAAAATCTCATTACTATCAGCTTTAACAAAATCCTGATGTGGCGCTGTGAGTTACTGCACTGGACTGCAAAGTCATTTGAACTGCAACGTCAGCAATTCAAGCTCACCAGCTGCTCTTCAGAAACACTATACAAGGTCGCTATGGGTCAGAACTGACTCAACAGCACTTATCAACAACAACATCGGCTTTAACAGTGCTGAAAATAGCATCCTTTGATAGTAATTCTTTAAATCAAAAGCCAAAAGCCACCTACACAGCCAAAACCTACTTGCTTTGCCAAGTCTGTTTGTTAAAGTATGAGCACTCTCAAGAGTTTAATAGCAAATCCTGGTTCTTCCACTACCACCCATCTGTCAGGCTGTCATACTGTGGTGGCTTATGAGTTACTGTGATGGTGGGAGCTCTGCCACCAATATGTTAAATACCAGAAGGGTCACCCATGGTGGGCAGGTTTCAGATGAGCTTTCAGATGAAGACAGACTAGGAAGAAAGAGAGACAGATTGCTTCTGAAAACCTCATGAATAGCAACAGAACGCTGTCAGCTATAGTGCAGGAAGATGAGCATCTGAGCTTGGAAGGCTCTCTAACTACAATTGGGAACAGCTATTTCCTCAAAGTGAATGGAGCAAAGCTTTTGACATCTTCTTTTTCACTGGTGGGACACAACTCAAAATGAGAAGAACCAGCTGCAAGCATTGATCATCGGAATGTGGAATGCCTGAAGTATGAATCAAAGGAAAATTGGAAGTTGTCAAAAATGAAATGGAATGCATAAAGATCAATATCCTAGGCACCAGTAAGCCGAAATGAGCTGGTATTGGCCATTTTAAATTGGACAATTATATGTTTCGCTATGCTGGGAATGTCAAATTGAAGAGGAATGACAAGGTACTTATCATCAAAAAGAACATTTCAAGATCTACCTTGAAGTACAATGCTGTCCATGATAGGATAATATCCATATACCTTCAAGAAAGGTGCTGTAGCATAAGCACTGGACTACTAACCACAGGGTCGGTGGTTCAAACCCACAGGCATCTCCTTAGAAACTCTGTACAGGGTCACTATGAGTCAGAACTGACTTGAGAGCATTTAAATATGGTGCAAGAAAGACCAGTTAATACCACTATTGTTCAAATTTATGCACCAACCACTAAAGCCAGGGATGAAGAAACTGAAGAATCCTACCAACTTGTTCAATCGGAACTTGATTAAACATGCAATCAACATGCATCAATAATTATTGGTGATTGGAATGTGAAGTAGGAAACAAAGAGGAATAATCCGTACATGGAAAATATCAGTACAGGAAAATGTGCAAAGACCTAGAGTTAGAAAACCAAAAGTGAAGACCATGCTCAACGTTTCTCAAACTGAAAGAATTGAATAAGCTTGCAATACTAAAGGATTCTCTGGGGGAAATATTGAATGATGTAGGAAGCATAAAAGATGATGGAAGAAATCTAGAGTCACTGTACCAAAAAAAAAAGGGGGGGGGTCGATGTCCGGGAGATGTCAATGCTCAACCATATGATCAAGAAGAGATGGAACTGAAGGAACAAGTCCAAGCTGCATTGAAGGCACTGACAGAGAATAGGTTTCCAAACTAATGAAATACAAATTGAAAACTGAGGCAGTGCTGGAGGCTCTCCCTCATCTATGCCAAGAAATTTGGAAGTACCTGACTTACAGATTGGAAGATATCCATATTTATGCCCATTCCAAATAGTGGTAACCCAATAGAATGCAGAAATCATCATACAATATCTTTAATATCACATGCAAATGAAATTTTGCTTAAGGTATTCAAAAAATGGTTGCCAACCACATCAACATGGGCCTACCTTGCTATGTTTGAGCCCATTATTGCTGCCACTGTGTCAATCCATTCGATAGGGGGGTCTTCCTCTTTTTCACTGACCCTCCACTTTACCAAGCATGGTTTCTTCTATAGGGACAGGTCCTTTCTGATAACAAGTCCAACGTGTGAGAGACAGAGTTTCTCCATCCTCACTTTTATGGAGCATTTTAGCTGTACTTCTTTCAAGAGAGATTTTTTTTTTTTTTTTTTGTCCATGGTACTTTTAATATTCTTCCCCAACACCTTAGATTCTTCTTATTCATTGTCCAACTTTCACATACATATGTTCTTGTTAAGTGCCATTGGGTCTGTTCTGACTCATAGCAACTCTGAATAGGGTTTCTAGGAGCAGCTGGTGGATTTAAACTGCTGACCTTGCAGTTATCAGTCTAGTGTTTATCCTACAGCACCATACCAGGATTTTGTCATAAACATTACAGCCTTGGAAACCCTATGTTGTTGTTAAGTGCCACTGAGTCGTTTCCGTCTCACACTGACCCTGTATAGGGTTTCCGAGGAGCCTCCTGTGAGTTTGAACCTTGAGATTCAAACTGACCTATGGTCCAGTGCATTGTCCTTTAGTGCCACACCAGGACTCTTGGAAACCCTACAGGGAAGCTCTGGTCTGTTCTCTTGGGTTGCTATGAGACACAATCAAACAGGGCTGGGGAACACCCAGGCCACAGGTTGTATTGTTGTTGTTGTTGTTGTTAAGCGCCGTCGAGTCGGTTCCGACCCATAGCGACCCTGTACAGGGTTTCCGAGGGTGTAAATCTTTACTGGAGTAGAAAGCCTCATCTTTCTCATAAGTTCGATGAAATCATCTGGTCTGGCCCTGCCAAGGCCATTGCAATTCCAGCCATCACATTGTTGTTGTTGTTGTTGTTATGTGCCATCGAGTCGGTTCTGACCCATAACATTAGAGATGAGTTAATTAACTGTAGGACCAAATGTAGCATTTGATCAAATATATCAATTTAAGTTAATAATATTATATGACCCATGTTTGATGCTGTAAATTTTGGCAACAAAAAGGTTCTCCACCCCTGAACTAAAAATGTAGCAAGACTGTGAGGATGGTGTAAGATCAGAGAGTATTTTATTCTCTCGTAGGGTTGCGTAAGTCAGAAAGAACTCAATTGCATCCAACAACAAGACTTCAGACCTACTGTGCCTGCCTTTTTTTGTTTTATAAGTAAATTTCATCTTCTTTCTTTATGCTACAACAATATGGCTCATAATGTGTCTGCTTCAGAATGTCCTTCAGACATTAAGACCTCCTCCTTCAGACATGCATTCTCCTCTAAGAGCTGATTTGGTATAAGGGAGCGTATGCCAACTGGACCACACAAAGCCCAATGAAATTTTGGCTGCCCTGAATGTCTCTGCTGTTGTCTGATCAGAGTTTTAAAGAGTGGCATATCTGGTATGGAAATTGACTAATGGGGATGAAGTAATGGCACAAGACAAAGTAAGTTGACACCAAATACAAAATTCACCATTTTACTGTACATTTTTGTGCACATGTCTATTTCAGCTCATCATACCAGATGATGCGATTGATTGAGACCATTTTCTTGCAGGGCTTTCTACTCATGTAGCAAAAACTGAAATAAACTCTTACCTAGAAAGCCCAAGTGGACATGTCAACTTGCCTCTTTCTTTTCAGCGTCAGCATGACCACATGCTCCACACTGCTTGCCCTGGGGATGATGCCACTGTGTCTCTTTATCTATACCAAAATGTGGGCCGATGCTGGGACGATTATAATTCCCTATGATAGCATAGGTAAGTCATTCCTCTGAATATTTAATATCACCCCTACTCTTCTGTATATCCCCTAGTAGGTTTCCAAACAAGGTTCAGACCCAGCTATTATTTACCATTTCCTTGCCGAGTGGCAGTTTATACTCAGTGATGATCCCATTACAAGTAATCCCTACACTTGAGTGAGTGTTGGCAGACTCTAAATTCCCAATCTTGATCCCATGCTAGAAACTGCTTTTTCCTCAATTTAGATCATCAAAGAGAGGGACCAACTTAAACAATCCCCTCCTCCCATTTCAGTCTGGACATGAGGAGACTTAAATTATTAGTGAACAAGATCTTCCATTCTTTCCTTCATCCAGAGTTGAACCACTGTTGTGAGTTGACATTGGGCTGACCCCAGACCCATGACGTCCTCAAGAAGAACAGGACAAAATGCTGCCCAGTCCTTCACCCTTCCCATGACCAGTTGCCTTCTCATGACCAGGTGCAGAGCAGACCATTTCTAGTTCATGATAATGAGAGTTTGCACCCAGATATCCAAATTTAAGAAAATAAATAAATAAATCTCAACTACTAATTTTAAACTTAGTAAGCACAGAATCCTGGTGTGGTGCTGTGAGTTAAGGCACTGGAATACAAGCTTAATTTGAACTGCATTGTTGGCAGTTCAAGCTCACCAGCTTCTCCTCAGAAACCCTATCTAGGATCACTATGAGACAGAACACTTAACAACAACAACAACTTAGTAAGCAATTAGTAAGTGTCACAATAAGAAACTACCAAATGAAACATGGTTTATAACAATGTGAGCAACGTCATGATTTAAAAGTTCACATGATGGCACATTCTTCACCCCATCCCCTGGAAGTCTGATTTGCTAGTTTTGAAGGAGCCCTGGTGGTGCTGTAGGATAAACACTGGACTGCTAAACTCAAAGGCAGTAGTGCAAATCCACATGTTCCAAAGGAGAAAGATAAGGCTATGTACTCCTATAAAGATTTACAACCTGGGAAATCTGTATAGGGTTGCTGTGAGTTGGAATCTATTCCATAGGAATGGGTTTGGGTTTGGTTTTTGGATTCTGTCTCTACTCATTTAGACTCCTGGTTGTCCTTTCCATACCAGAGACCAAAGGCACTTCCCCCCAGCCCCCAATTTCTGGGAAATGGCAGAAGATAAAATTTTTGGTGTAACATGAGGATAGAAGTCAAAGGAAATGCAAAATTGTTTATGGAATAATGAAACAAGCCATTTCCCATAAAAATACATTACAAATGAAATGTTGCTGAAATCATGCATCAGTACTAAGTACTGGGAATGTTACATGTTAAATAGTTTTCTTCAACCAACCTTGAAAACAGGTAGCTCCTTGATAGGTTGTCTCATGAAGGTGTGGGTTAATCACTGAAGGGTGCTTGCTTGTAAGGGAAGGCTAAAGGATGTTTGTAAGGGATTTCTTCTGGGAAGAGGCTGGACTAGGTGACATCTAAATTCCTCCCATTTCTAAGAATGATTGTTTCGGGGATAAAAACAGTGTTCAGGGTCTGCATAACTGAAATGGAACAAACCTCTGGAACACCAATGAGATAGTCTGAACTTCAACATTTTCATATAGCTTTCTTGCTGCACTCTTAGTATTTTTGTACACAAGGTCCTTCTGTTGACCCCTGAGGAATGCCTTTCTATTAGATATAATCTCCTAAAAATAGGTATTAGAGTAATATTCCATTGCCACTTATCTGTGTCTCATGCTGCTTAACTGTCGCCCTGCTCCTTTGGTGGAAATTGCTCTTAGAGTTAAAGAACCTGACTGAAAACAAGTTTGAATTTTATATTACTCACTAATTGAGGAAATAATTTAAACCTTAAAATCTCCTTTTCTTGACACACATCCCCTTCTGGAAAGTGCCCCATGACAATATTGTGTAATGTTAAGTACACTGGGAAGGGCCTATCACATTCTTTAATTTGAACAAGATTTGAAAAGAAGAAAGCTGTGAGAAAGAGGGATTTGCATATCAGTGAAGACAAAAAAATCATAAAAGACATAAAGTGTAAAAAGGAAAGAAAGAAAAAAGAAGAGAGGAGAGGAAGGGAAAAGGGTACAGGGAAAAGAAAAGGAAAGAATGAGAAGAAAAAGAAAGCAAAGAGAAAAAGAAAGGAAACTTAAAAATTAGATGAGTGTGAGAAACAAGTTTTGCTTTCTTGTCATTTTTTTCCAGATCTGTTATTCTTGCAGACTTAACCTCCTGTGGTTGTTGTTATAGTCTTTTATTGAAGAAAACTGACTGCTTGACAGCTTCACAGGCTCTGACCACCACCTTGTAGATGGGGAAATTGAGGCTCAAAATAATTGCTCAATTTGCCCAAGAGCCTTGGAGAAAGACCCTTAGTTTACTCTCCAATTAACTCTGAGGGCAGATGTTCTCAGCATGTACAGAGGACTCAAAAAAACACCCAGATGAGCTAACATCTGGATGGGGCAGGAAGTGGCGTGTATAGCAGATACCACTAAAAACAAAAACAAAACAAAAAACACAGTAGTAAGTAGTTATACCTACTTCTCTCCATCATATTGTTGGGTGTCTGTGTACCAAGAACTTGATATCCATTTAATCATTTAATTCTCATAACAGCATTGTGATGTAGACATGTTCTTACCAACCATTGTGTGTGTGTGTGCCGAGTGGAGCTACTCCTTAGCACTGTCCAGGCTATGACCTTTCAGAAGTTAACCACTAGACATGGCTTCAGCAAAGCCTCTGGCTGGGTTTGAATCTCCAACTCTTCAGTTAATAAAATTCTTCCCATTTTCCAAATGAAGAAAACAAAGCTCAGAGCGTTTCAACAATTTGCACAATGCCCACAGTTGTTAATACAGAAAGGTGCAGCTGGAGTCTGGCTCTACCACGTGACTCCATTCACTATTCGCTTTCATTCTCTTCATTTCCTGCTACATTTGTTTCCTTCTCTATCTACTGGTTAAAGTCCATGCTGTAATTTCAACAGGTAACTGAGAGCAGGGAGTCCTGGTGTGGTGCTGTAGGATAAGCACTGAGCTGCTAACTGCAAGGGCGGTGGCTCAAACCCACCAGTCACTCCTCAGAAACCCTATACAGGGTTGCCAAGAGTCCGAACCGACTGAACAGTACTTAACAACAAAAACAACTGAGAGCAGATGTATTTTCTTCTAAATAAGTAGACATTTTGCCCAGAGAGCATAGGCATATAAGGACTCCATAGAGCAAAGCCTAGGAGGGGGAAGAAAAGAGAGAGACTAAAAAGTTAAAACATGCCATCACTCCAGACAGGGTGTAAAATATAGTAAAAGGTACATTTTCCAGTCAACTTCAAATCCCTGAACAATTTTCTCTTGCCTTATTTGATCAAAAGAAGAAAAGCCTTTCTGCCATGGACTTCAGCAGATGGGACTGATGTTGATCCTATTTCTTTGGACTGCCCCAAAGAAATAAGGACTCTTAACATGAGATGTCAAACAGGAGAGATAAGCTGCCTGTCACCAGACTCAGCTCATTTAAAATATAATGTGGTTGTTATTAAGTGCTGTTAACTCAGTTCTGACTCAGAGTGACCCTGTATGGGGTTTCCAAGGAGCCACTGGTGAACCTGAACCACCAACCTTGCAGTTCAAACCAACCTGGCATTACCCCACAGCGCCACACCAGGACTAACCAAGCTTCTATTCTAAGAACAGCATTTACACCGAGAATCAACCTACCATGATATCATCAAGTTGCTTCAGAATGGTTTGGATTTAAGACTTACAGATTTCACATAATTTCAGGACTGGTCTAGATATCAAGAGAGGAAGTCTCCTCCCAAAGCACAAGTTGCAAGCTCTCCCAAAGGGCATTTTTCTGGATGTGCCATAGAATAAGCACTTGATCTCGAGGTCAGTTTGAACCACAAAGCTGACGGTTCAAAATTCACCAACCACTCCTTGGAAACTCTACACAGGCTCGCTATGAGTCAGATTCGCCTTAACAGCTTAGCAGTATATCTCCCAGTATCTCTGTGCATCCATGTTCTCCTTATGCTTCCTTACCCATATTTTATTTTGATCCTGATCTTGGTATCTTTTGTCATTACTTAACTTCACTAATTTCTGGGCAAAGTAATTTCTGACCCTTAGATTGCCAAGACTAGAAGACTACAAATAAATTCTGTCTTCTTCACTATTTTATTCATTTTAAATTAACATTTAAAGCTTCTAAATCTAAAATCTGTTTTCTAGTCCTACTTGAATCCACTCTCATACTAAGTTATATCAGTGCTCAGTATTTCATTTTGCAGCTCCACTTTTTAATATGTCTTTAAAAGACGGTTTGAAAAAGAAACAACCCATGAAAAGTTAGAAATGGTTGGTGTTATACTGTATAAAATCAGCTATTGGACAAATGAGTGTTAAATAATATGCAGAAATAAACCACATGTCATAAGCACAGCAGTAAATTTAACACAGTGATATTGAAGTATGACTCTTTCATCTGCCTGAGTGAGCACGTTACTGCAAAGAATTATAATTACTTGAGAGGTCGCCAAATATATTATCTCATGGAAAATTAAAAGCGTGTTTTTTCAACCTGTTCTCTCACCTCGATGCTGTAGATCTGAGTAACCAAAGTCAGTCTTAAATAGAAGTCATTATCCTTCAGATATTCCGAGATCTCGAGCTAACTTTAAAATGCCTCTATCATATCTACCACCATAAAGTAAAAAGGAACTCTGGTAGCATAATGGGTAACGAGTTGGGTTGCTAACCACAAGGTCAGCAGTTTGAATCTACCAGCTGATCCATAAAGAAAGATAAGGCTTTCTGCTCCTGCATAGCCTTATATCCTATATAGGGTAGCTATACATGGGAGTACACTGTGACATAAAAGACAAATGTAAAATGTCTTCTATATATACAACAAGAACACATACATGTTGGAAAAGTTTGAAGTTGTTGTTTTTCTATAATAAAAAGACCCAAAGACTAAATGAGCCACAGTTCAGATAAACTGAAACTAAAGAGTATTTATTGACAACATAAGAAATTCTGAAAAATAGCCCAGGCTTTAAGGGGAAAAAAATCTGTACCATCAATACAACAGTGCTTCATCAATAATATTCAATTATTTACTAGTGTGGATAAATATGTAGTTTTTGTTTTGTTCTGTTTGGCTTTAAGTCTGTTTTGTGTATTCATAATGTGAGACTGAGATACTATTTAAGTCTTTTCAGACTGCTAAGTCCTCTGTTTTTTCTTTTCTGTGCTATGTGGACTGTCAATCTGATTGCCCTTCTGCCATTTCTAGGTATTTCTTTGGTGGCTCTAGTTGTTCCTGTTTCCTTTGGGATGTTGGTTAATCACAAGTGGCCTCAAAAAGCCAAGATAATTCTTAAGGTAAGCATCTCATGCAAGAGGATTCACAGTAGAATATTTGACAGAAAATACCAGAAAGATGTTTACTTGTGTTTTTGTGATTAAGCAAACGCTTTAGATCATAACAAACTATGGATAACACTGTAAAGAATGGAAATTCCAAAACACTTAATTGTGCTCATGAGGGACATATTCATAAACCAAGAGGCAGTCATTCGAACAGATCAAGGGAATAATGAATGGTTTAAAATCAAGAAACGTGGACACCAGGGTTGTATCCTTTCGACATACTTATTCAAACTGTATGCTTAGCAAATGATCTGAGAAACTGGATTATATAAAGAACTGGCATCAGAATTGGAGGAAGACTCATTAACAACTTGAAATATGCAGATTACACAGCCAAGATGACTTGAAATACTTACTGATGAAAAGACTAGCCTTTGGTATGAATTGCACATCAACATCAACGTAAAAAAAGAAAAGGAAAGACAGAAGTCCTCCCTACTGGGCCAATAAATAGCATCATGTCAAAATGATGATTTTTTGAGACAAGATTTAAGAAAAGAGAAAAGATTTAAGTTGTCAAAGACTTCATTTTGCTTGTATCTACAATCAACATTCATAGAAGTAACCGTCAAGAAATCGATCACTATGTTGCATTGTAGTGGTTACGAATCGGGCTGCGAACCTTAAGGTCAGCGGTTCGAAACTACCAGCTGCTCCGCGGGAGAAAGATGAGGCTTTCTACTCCCGTAAAGATTTACACCCTCGGAAACCCTATACAGGGTCACTATGGGTCGGAACCGACTCGATGGCACATAACAACAACAACATGTTGCATTAAGAAAATCTACTGCAGAAGACCTCTTTAAAGGTTAAAGAGCAAAGACGTCACTTTGAAGACTAAGGTGTGCTTTACCCAAGCCATGGTATTTTCAATCACTTATTATGCACGTGAACGTTGGAAAAGGAATAGTCAAGACTGTAGAAGAATTGATTATGGTGTTGGAGAAGAATACTGAAAGTACCAAGGAGTATCAGAAGAACAAATAAATCTGTCTTAGAAGTGTAGTCAAAATGCTTCTTAGAAGTGAGAATGGTAAGACGTGGTCTCTCGTACTTTGGATATTTTATCAGTAGGGACCAGTCCCAGGGCATCATGCTTGGGAAAGTGGAGGGTCAGCTAAAAAGACAAAGACCCCCAACGAGATGGAATGACGCAGTGGCAACAGCAATGGGTTCCAACATAATGAAAATGTTGAGGATTGAGCAGGACCAGGCAATGTTTGTTCTGTTGTGGGTAAAACTGACTCAGTGGCACAACAAGATGTACAAGGGATCTTCATAAAATTCATGGAAAATAGAATGAAAATATAATGGAATTCTTTTCACAAACTTTTTAAAATACATATTATATATATGGAGCTCTGGTAGCATAGTGGTTATGAGTCGGGCTGCTAACCTCAAAATCAGCTAGTTCAAAACTACCAGCTGCTCCGCAGGAGAAAGAGAAGGCTATCTGCTCCCATAAAGATTTACAGCCTCAGAAACCCTGTACAGGGTCGCTATGAGTTGGAACCGACTCCACAGCACTTAACCACCACCATATAGATATAGATATAATGTATTTGTTGTTAGGAGCCATCAAGTCAGTAACAACTCACAGTGACTCTGTGACCAACAGAATGAAACAGTGACCGGTCCTGGGCCACCTCACAGTCATTGCTATGCCTGAGCCCACTGCTGCTGCCACTGTGCCAATCCATCTCGTTGGGGGGTTTCCTCTTTTTCTCTAACCCTTCACTACCAAACATGATATCCTTCTTCAGTGACTTCTCCCTCCTAACTACATGTCCAAAGTATGATAGATGAAGTCTGGCCATCCTGGCATATATGAGTCCTGGTGTGGCACTGTAGGATAAGCACTGGACTGCAAGATTGGTTGGAACGTCAAGGTTTGTGGTTCAAACTCACCAGCCATTCCTTGGAAACCATATACAGGGTCGCTATGAGTTGGAAAATATATATATATTTTGTGTGTGTGTGTGTAGAGTTATAGATATAGATATGTATGTATATATATATATATATATTCAGTCCTGGTGTGGCACTATAGGATAAGCACTGGACTGCTAACTAGAAGGCCAGCAGTTCAATCCCACCAGTCACTCCTCAGAAACCCTGTACAGGGTCACTATGAGTCAGAACAGACTTAAATCACTTAACAACAACAAAAACATATGTATATATATATAAATATGGGGAGCATGGTTGACTCCATAGGATAAGCACTGGACTGCAAACCACAATGTTGGTGGTTCGAGCCCACCATTCACTTTGGGAGAACAATTCAGTTTTCTATTCCCACGTATACAGACTCAGAAACCCCATACAAGGTCGCTATGAGTTAGAACTGACTCCATGAC